ATAAGGGAAGATAACAACATAATTTAATAAGTTAATTTATAATTAAACAATTTCATGCTTACTGTTTTGACATTATGATGGTTAACACTAACAGGGGACAGCCTGATTTGGCAGATGACTTCAAAAATTGATTACTGAAAACAGTTGTTCTGACATATAGCACCCAGAATAACACACATTGTACAGAATATAGAGGGCTTCTTATTGCTTTATTTTGAATAATTTAATATTTTAAAACAGGGCTTCTTAAACTATGGGTCGTGACCCCATTTGGGGTCGCGTAGCAAAATTCTGGGGTCGCGAGAGATTTTAATGTCAAATATTTATATATAATATATATATACCATTTTATAACATCACTAGAGTTGGCGGAATACAGTGGACTTGCAGCGTCTAGACACGTGCATTTATTGAAGGTTTTGAGCTATCTCCACCGACAGCAGTAAACAATCGATGATCGCTATTATTATACTGTGGCTATACATTGTTAGTGCGTTTGTCGGTATCATACATGTTGAATAAACCGTGTGCCGCTGACTTCCCACAAGGGAGGAATGCGCACGCGTACACACGTGCAACCTGCAGCTAAACAATGATTCAATACACGTGCTGGCAAATACGCATTAACCAAACCGGTCTGTGGGGCTCTTATAAAAAAGGTGCGCATAAATACTTGTAAAACCCGTTGAAAAATTTGTGAATTTTATGCTTTTTAAGCGAATTTTCATAACATTCCATAACTCGCATTGACTAAAACGCTTATGTAAACTAGCCTACACTGACTGTAATGTGAATTAGTGGAGTGTTGACGCTCTTCTAGTGTGGTCAATTGTCAGTGTCCTCCGTAACAAGATTTTAGTTTTTTTTATTTATTCGGTAATTAATAAATCAATTATTATCTGCAATATGTTATTTTTTTTTTTATATATTTATTTTATTTTAGGATCAAAGTACATTTTGGCCATGGATAAATGGGTTAAACTTGAATAGACAGAATGGTAATGAAAGATGCAGATGATAATGCTACAAACTCTTCTCAGGCAGGACAAAGTATTGGAAAACAGGCATGTAATGTGCGAAAAAAATATGATGAGTCTTTTCTTCAATTTTTTCTTCTTCAATTGGCTTTACATTTCAAAATTGTGAGGGTAATGAACAACCTCTTTGTTTGATCTGCAATGAATTATTGGCTTCGGAGAGAGTATGAAACCATCAAATTAAAAAGACATCTTGAATCAAAGCATGTTTCGTATGTCAATAAACCAAAAGAATATTTTGAAAGACTGTTGAAATCTTTAAATAAAGAAAAGAAAATCTTTGAAAACTTATAACTGTTAATGAAAAATATTTACTAGCGTCATATGAAGTTTCATACTGTATTGCTAAAAATAAAAGCCGTTCACCATTGGAGAAGATCTTGTGTTACCTGCTGCTATTAAAATGTAGAAATACTACATGGAAGAAAATATGGCGATGATATTCGAAAAATTCCTTTGTCGAACGACACTGTCTCGAACAGAATTTCTGATATTAACAAGGATCAATTAATACAACTTATTACAAGAATTAAAGAAAGCCCAAAATTTTCAATTCAGTTGGACGAAACAACTGATATTACTAAATTGGCTCAGTTGTTAGTATATGTCAGTACGTTTATAAAGAAAGCGTGGAGGAAGAATTGTTATTTTGTCGTCCTATGGAAACCATACTACAGGGAAAGACATATATGTAAAGTTGAACGAATTTTTAAAAGCAGAAGGTTTAGAATGGAAAAATTGCTGGAAATATGCACAGATGGTGCAAGAGCGATGACGGGGCAAAAATATTGGTTTTAAATCATTTTTTCAAGCTGCTCATTATGATAATATAATTTTTACTCACTGCCTTATTCACCGAGGGCTCTTGCAGCAAAAAAATTAGCACCAGAATTGAACGATGTGCTTCAGGATGCTGTTAAGATCATAAATTTTATTAAGAGCCATGCCCTTAACAGTCGCTTATTTTCAAAAATCTCTGTAAGGATACGGATTCCAACTACACAACTTTGTTATTACATGCAGAAAGAAGTAGATGGTTGTCAAGATGTCAAAGTTTAAGAAGATTATTGTTATTAAAAGGACGAGATCGAAATATTTTTAAACCGAACGAAAATGTGAACTTGCTGCTTTTTTTAAAAATGACTTATGGCTATCCAAGCTGTGTTATTTGTCAGATATTTTTGAGAAGTTAAATGATCTCAACTTGTCTCTTCAAGGAAAAATATTGCGATATATTTTACTTCAAATGATAAAATTGAAGTTTTATATTAAAAGATCAACATTTGGAAAAGTAGGGGTCGAAAAAAATTTCGTTCAAAATGTTTTCCAGTGTCGACAATTTTTTGTAATCGAGAAAATTCATTGTAAAACTTTTATTGCAAAAATTATTGTAGATCACTTAAAAGCGCTAGAAATACAGTTCCGGACATATTTTAAATTAAATATTGATTTCCAAAAAATAGTTTGGATTCAAAAGCCATTTTGGATTGGCTTAAGTGAGATTGATCACCTGCCACTTAAAGCTCAAGAGGAATTTGCTGAGCTTTCGAGTGACTCAAACTTAAAACTACAATTTCAAAAAAAGCCCTTGACTGAATTCTGGATCAGAACTAGAACTGAATTTCCCACAATCGCGATATGGCGTTAAATGTACTTCTGCCATTCAATACCACATATTTATGTGAAGTTACTTTCTCAGCTTTAACACATATTAAATCCCAATATCGTTCAGTGTTAAAAAATGTTGAAGAGGTCTTATGTCGAGCAGTTTCAAACATTCCACCAAGATTTGATTTGTTATGCAATAAAAAAACAGGCACATCCATCTCATTAAATTTTTTACTTATACTTTAATTTAATACTTACCACGCAACTACTTGAATATATTCGAGAGAATTAAGACGGTCAGAATCCACTTTTATTTTTGAAACTATAATAAATACAATTTATAATTTTTTTGCAATTTTTAATTTTAGATTTTTGTATGTTTCAAAACGAATTCTAAATTTATTATTTTTCATATGTATATGTATATTGTTACCTAATAAAAATCATCAAAAAATATGAATTTATTTTTCTTTTATATTTGTATGGGGTCGTCAAGAAACTCGCAATCATAAATGGGGTCGTGAATGACAAAAGTTTAAGAAGCCCTGTTTTAAAACATTGCTTCTTAATGCTTTACAAAGTTGAAAGTTAATACACATATTTTTTCTTCCTTAAAACTATATTTCTAATTTCTTATAGCTAATTTGGCACACCTGCTATCCATTCATTTGAGGCAGGTGCCTCACTTGCTTAACCCTTATCCGAGCTCTGTATGTTAATAACGTCAGCTCATTACGCAGTGTATACCTAACCAATATGCAAAAAATACTTACATAAGTTGCAATAAAAACAAATGTATAAACAATACTAAAAAATTTTTTTTTAATCTGAAGCTTTTAGATTTTATATTATGCCCAAAGGGGCGTTTTTTAACACTTTGTGTGTTACTTTTATTTGTTAAATATCATATTCTTCACTCTTCAACCATAAAATTCAATTCAACAGCAATATCACAAAATATTTAAAAGAGGATATCTTTAGAATTTCCGATACACAGTCTTGCACGCTGGAGATAAAAATGTTTTTTTCCTCATACAGTGCTGCCATTGCTCGCTTTGAAACCATTCAGTCCTTAATCAAAAACTGGTAAATGCTTTACAAAATATGAAATAGATAATAAAAGAAATTCCAAATTTGGGCTTCCAGATGCCCATATTCGGCATTATTCAAAATTTGATGGGTCTACGTACCACTATTTTATCATAATGTGAGAAACATACATACTGTTAGGTTTTTCTAGTTATTTAGCTATTTTTAGTAGAATTTGTAATTAAAATTATTTTATATTCCCATGCAATGCAGCATGCACATTTAACATTTTAATAAATAGATATCTTGTAATTGTACTCTTTGCCATTCAGAAAAATCGAGAAAATACAAGAATGTTCTCGTGCATTTAAAAAGTTTATAAAAGCTGGAGGAAAACATCTCAATTCAGTTGTTTAGAAAACTGTTGTTTTTTCCTGCAATGAATTCATGGCGAGATTAGATCAGCTTTCTCTATGTTTCTCTGTTTTGAATTGTGTTCTGTAAATTGTTTTAGCACTTTAAAATATAACTACTGTGAGATATTGCGATATTGTATGAATATATTCGAGGAAATTTCAGCATTATGTTTTATTTCTTGGTATAATAATAACTTTTATTAACTTCTTATCGACTTGTGTATTCAATCCATTATGAACCCGTAGGCACGCAACAATACATTTATGCAGATTCTTCATTATTTAATTTCTTTAAATATAGTACAGAGCTCTAATATTTGGTGGCAACAACTTAAAAAGTGATTTGCCATTTATAGTGAATCAATGCAAAGTGTCAAAATGAAATTAATAGCCCTACTGAGCAAATTGCCCCTTAGGGTTAAAAATTTAAAATAAAGCGCTTATGCTTATTCAATAATGTTTCTACGTAAGCAGTGACTATATAGATGATTTAACACTTTACTCAGAATTAATCACTTCACATTTTACCATCAAACATCCTCAGTATTACACAGTTTTATCAGAATAAGAAGTTGACTACTAAGTATATACTCCTTTAACCTGCAGTTGCGTTAATATTTTTAATAACTGAAAAAAAAATTGGAAGGCAATTGTAATAAAAATGCTTAATGTCTTTTATCTTTGGCCATAGATTGAACCAGTTTTTGAAACAGGAAATTAATAAAAATAAAAGACTTAAATTATACACTATACTGAAAATTCAAAAACAGTTTATTTTTAAAACTATTCACTCTTTCTTAAAAAACAACATTAATACTAAGCTGTTTAATTTTTTACATAAAATGAACATAATAAATTAAAATCACTAGCAAATGATAAAAGCAAAAAATTTTATTAATTATATAGCTACCTTTCTCTCCTCCAAGCATACAGGTATAAGAATATTTAATGAACCATTGCATGGAATGCTTTGAAATTCCTTGTTACCAAATGAAGTTGGCAACAAATTTGTGGAGGCGTTTTTTTGCGATACCGATTCTTCTAGGGTCAAGTTACAGCTGTAAAAATACTTCCCATGCTCCATTATGCTAAGCTGAAAGCTTTCCTAGAAAAATAAATCATTACGTTCATTATGATATAGCATTCAAATAAAGTAATATAAACAAAACTTTTTTAGAGGGGAGAGTTCATTACTAACATGAAAGTGATTAATGAAGATAACAGGAACATGAAAGCTGACAAGGAAACAAAACTTTAAACCACAAGTTCATTAAATTAAGTAAACAAATTAGCACAGTAAAAGTCTCTTTAAAAATCAAAAGTTATAAAATCAGTATCATGATAAAAAGAGTGTTATGCTGTGAAGTAACCATGATATTCACGTCCCTACAAACTCGTACTTACATTTTCCTTAATGAGTTATATATTCTCATAAAAGAGTATTTAAAGTGCAGACTGACAAAGAGCACTGCAAAAATTTTTTAAATTATCAGCATAATTCTATGTATGTAATGAATAGACAAACAGGAAATATGTAAATTTCAGGTTTTATAAAAAAATAAATAAATAAATAAATCATAATGTAGGAACTTTATAGCATAAAGTAAGTTAGGTACATCTCACATAATTCACTACTTAGACACACAATTTCATTTTTAATTATTATACTTAATCTGGTCTCATACAGTAAAAGAACATTTAATAACATGACTACAATCTGATTCATATACACATTTCCATAAAAGTGAATTATATGGTGACTATTTTTTGACATGATACTGTTGTATATGAAATAATTTTGGTAAAAGATAACAATTTGTTGAAATAGTATAAAGTGGTAATTCATAAATTTCTGCACTCAACATCAGTAATCAGTTGCACTTATTTTACATTTACTGAATGTTACACTACATGCTGATAAATAATTATAAGAGGGGAAAGAATCATCTGAAATTCTGAAACAAGTTAAAACTAAAACACGAGACAAAATGTTTCTTATAGTTCAATATAACATGAATCATCAAAATATAAGAAATATCATTTCTTATATTTTGATGAATTGATCAAAATGAAGTGCATTTCATATAGATTAACATACAAGAAATGTTTTCTTTTCTTTAAGACTAAAAATTTGAGAGAAAACTAAATAAAAATGTCCCAGGGTATAGAAATGCACTGACACCAAAAATGTGCATAAAAATATTTCACATATGAAGTAAATATTAAAAAATGCTTAAACAATACCTAATAACAAATGATGAAATAAAAATAAATTCCTTATGATGTCAAACAATAAACCTAAGACAGAAAAAATTTTGAAAATGAATTTAAAAAGGATATATAGAAATTAATAGGAACACTAACAAATATATTACAATCAAAAGTCGTTAATCCGGACTCGTCGGGACTTCGGCGATTCCAGATTATCGATTTTTCCAGATTATAGATCATCAGTTTAAATCTGGTAAGATGGCATGCAGAAATTATAAAATTAAAAATATGAAACCGTAATTTATGATATAAAGAACAATTATGATCTAAAGGGTATCAAAATTTACAAAAAGAAAAAGCTTAATATTTATTTGTTTACTTTATTAAGCATTTCTTTCAATGTAAGTTGTTTAAGTTGCTTCATTTCATGTGATAATACTTTCTCTTTAATTCTATTAAACAGACATAATTTCTTGTTTAGTTACAAAGTTCCGCTGTTCGAGTCCTATAATTGCTGTGTCGAGAATACCGACTAATTTGTCAATCGAACATTTTTAGTTTTCAATAACCTCTGTATTACTTTCTTCACTATCGGAAGCGAATTATAATGACGAGGAACTTGATTTAAATCATATCAAAGACTGAGTACATTGAGATGAAGTACTACATTTAGTAAGGAATTATAAGCCAAATAAAATAAAAACATCTGCCCTGAAAATAAAGATAGTGCTGACAGATCAACTTCCAATTCATTGCGCGCTGCGTCTTTTCCCTCCCCCCGCAGAACAGCGTGAAATTGATAAACATATTTCGGAGTGATTAGATAATCAAAGGATATGCCTTTATCCATTTTTTGCAGCAATTCCACTTTCTGTTTAATGGACTTCGAAACATACTTTCGCTTTGTAGATCCTTTACATATTAGTAAACATATATCGGAAATTCTATTTGACATAATAGACAGTTCAAGCTTACTTTTATAAAATTGCTCTAACAGTCTGCAAAAAATAATAAGCCGGATCCAATTCGAAGATTAAGGAACAACGCAATCTGCAACATTAACTGAATTAGATAATTTTAGCTTAGCTTATACTGTCTGTTTAAACGTGCGTGCGTAAACGTATTATGCGCATGCGCAAACACATATTCGCAGCCATAAAGGTCTTACGCGCACGCGTAAATGCCTATGCGCATGCATCAATCCGACGTATGCGCAGAAAGTTTGTAGCTCTGAGATCCGGATTATAGATCATTCCGGATTATGGGTGTCCGAATTAACGACTTTTGACTGTACTGTATAGACAGAAATAAGGAAATGATTTATTACACAGAAATGACCAAATAAAGTAATCACTTGATCATAATATTAAACGACAATCTGCACAGAGTTATTGTAATGAAAATTTAAAACTTAATTACTTTCCCATATCCATTTTAAGCAAGCTGTTTATCTACAAAATAACTTACACAGCAGAAAAAATGTATGATGCACCAATTCAAAAAAAAAATTTTTTTTAGTTGCTTGGAAAAATATATCAGTTTTTTTAAACTTTAAACAAGGAAGTTGGGAAGATCATAACATGTTATCTGGACAGTAAAAAGAATGCAATCCAGTGCAGTAGCTGTTTAAAATTCTAAACGTCAAGCAAAATGAGAATAAAAAATACCTAGATTGAAAAATTATCAGCACTTCATTAAATAAACTGATATACCCATCCATTTTTTATCACTTCATTTCAGAATAACTTTGGAAAATAATAAAAATTATAAAGCAATTAAGAGGTAAATATTTTTAAACATATGACATAGAAAGCACAAATAAATTCTTAGTTGCGTAAGACAACACTTAGCAGTTTCATGCAAATTGTACTTTTTGGCTTGAGAACTCAAGCAGCTTAAAAGACACCTTCAATGGTTCAATCAACTAATGGTTTTAATAACATTAGTGAGAAGATTTGATAAAACAACGTAAAACTGGAGATTTTTGAATTTTAACGAGTTTTGCAAATTTTTATTTAGGTATGAAGTACTAGTTTTTTCTAAATTAGGTCCCACCATTTTGATTTCCTAGTACAAAAACTAACAATAGAAGAAAAAATGAGTTAATAATCTCTAATTCACACTGCTACATATCTATGCTTTAAAGTTAGCCAGATGTGAAAATATTTAATGACTGAAACTGGCACAAAAGTATTAACATCATATATTTAGAATCTCTTTTTCTTCCTTTACTAGCCCTGTTTTCACTGGATTAACTTAATTCTATTCACATTATACACGATTACCTGCGATACCTTCAAATACATTTCAGCTATCTGGTATTGCCATTTAGTGATGATTCAGACAGCTACTGCAATGGTTTAACCAGACAAAAAACTCAGCTTTTGCTTCTGATTTGAATCATTATATTAATGTACGCAGAAGTAAAAAAGATGAAAATATATTGAAATTATTTTGAAAAAATGCTGCATTAAACAATAAAGTACTTAAACTGATCCTTTCAGATTAGAAAAGCAGTATATATTTGTGTTATGATTTATACATAAACTCTAAAATTTCATCTACCATTTAAAAATTCTATCAGTTGATTACTCTCAAATTTAATTTTTGACAAAAAATTGAACTGATAATGAAAAATGAAAAACACTGATGTGCCATATAATCAGTTATTTTTCCCTTACTTTTTCTCATACTCACTTCAGAGAATGAAGGCATAGCCACTGAGTTTTGTGACAGGAGCCACTGAAATCCATTCTTGTCAAAGAGATACAAGTCAGTATTTAATCTGTTAATCAAAAGTACATAAGGTTTCACATCTATCAGAATGGTATTCAAACCTTCCCACCTTTGTGAACATTCAACCTAAAGATAAAGTTAAGCAGGAAAAAACTACAATGACAGTTTTAGTTTTAAAATAAAAAGTCATACCTTAATTCCAAGATACAAAGATACAGTTAAAAATAAATTAAAAATATTCCATAGACATGTGAGAAAACATATTAAGCAATATGCTTAAAGCTGAGAAACAATTGTATTGATCACAAAGTAAAGCAGTGCTGAGATAAACAATTTCAAACGAGGAAAAAAACATGCATAAATTTAATTCTTAATCATTTTTATGAGTTTTGATCATCTTTTAAGGAAAATTTTAAATTCCTCTTTTGAAAAATTCTTTTGCCTTTTTCCACAAAAAATTCATATATTATATTTTTCTTCACCCGCTCATGTACAAATAATGCTGAAACAACCTAAATATGTTGTAAAAGGTGCGATAATACTCAGACACTTAGGAAAATGAGCCCCATTATGAAATCTCTGTTGAGTTATTCTAGGAGTATACTACTATTTAGCATTACAGGGACAAAGAATCACATCAGGTTTACTGATTAATGCAAGTTGCTCACAGTTACACTTTTTCAGCTATGTCCGCATTAAACAGATGTATGCAGTAAAGGTTTGGTTATTTTCTAGCAGTTCAAAATAAACCACACTTTGTGTATTCCAGCATATACCAGAATAAAACTTTCTCTGAATGCAATCCTGGTTTTGCAGTGCGATTTAACATCTCTTTGCACTTAGCCGGTATCTTTTAGGAGTAATATTGATATAAAAAATCCTTTTTTCAACTCCATTCACAATATTACTCAAGAAGGGTTCCATTAATTTCTTGCAAACAGAGATGTATAAATATGACGGTTTTCAGCTTTGAATTAATTTGGAAACGAGCACCCACATGAGGAAAACTTTCCTCTTCATATCAAGTGATTTACTAGTAAAAATTAACTATACACAGCTATCCACTATTTCTGTATTGATAATAGAAGGATTTGACTCAAATAGCATCTTCAGTTCATCATCTCATGCTCTGGTCATCAACTTCCAGGCTCATTCCCAATGTTAAAATTTCCATTTCAGAATTTCTTAACCATATTTGTCATTCACTTTATCTGATATTATGTGGATGTATTTAAAAAGTGTTCTGAATGGCTTCCATAGCATTTCCATACAGGCAAAACTCATAAAGCATAGTATGGGGAATATGCAGCTAACAATAGACCATCGTTCATTTAATGAATAAAATTTACGAAAAGTTAATTCGGCAGAAATAGAAAAGACATGCTACCAAGATTATAATAATGTCCAAATCTTTTGATTGCAGAATCATTTGGTACACTGTTAGGTACTGAAATTTTGACAAACCACAATATTGCATTACTTTAAGGTCAAACATCATAAAGTTAAAAATTTAGTTTCAGCATATATGCTACAAATTCTTGTAATAAAATTAAGTAAATATAATATTTGCATACATTAAAGATTGCTAACAAATAAGCATTACCATGCAAGAATTTAAATGAAGCTCATGGTTATTTTTCATTTGATTTAGTATTATTTCCTTATGTTTCATTATAATAAATCTAGTATTCATTACATTATTTTTCAGAGTACATTTTCTACTTCCAATTAAAAGTTAATCTTTAATAAATTTAATCACTTTTTTTCATCAAATACCAGTACTTGTAGGAAAACGATTTGAAAGTGAAGTGACACACAAAAGTCATGTAACTTTAATTGTAAAACTTCAAATATTTAAAATCTTACTTATAATTTGAACACATATTTTACTAATACCTTCAATTTTGAGCAAATGTTGACACACCCTGTAGCAAGAATTAAATTAGAATATTCTTCAGAGCATGGATACAAAGACTCCAATATAGTAGTAGGATGACAAGACCTTTAAAAAAACATAATTTCTCATGAAAATTCATCAGAACTGTAAAATACAAAGATTAAATAAAACATAAGTCATTTTCAGTGTTATAAAAATAAAATAATACATTTCAGTTTCAAATATGGGAAAAAGATTCCAAATGCACAGTTCTTGAAATTATATATTTTAGTCACTTAGATCAAACTTACTAAAATGTAACAGCAAAATTTTAGAGTAAACAAGATCTTATTTGATAATACAGTTTTTACAAGTACAGTTAATGTACTTTATTTTCAGATGCCCTTTATATGTTTGCTGCAAGGCTAGGCATGCGAAACTTCACCAGAATTCACTCTAAATTAAGAAAGGAACTTCATATATATTGAATACTCTTTTTAAATTACATTTCCTAGCATTACAGATTCCATTATGTTGAAATATCTACATCATTTTCTTCTTCCTCATCATGACCCGAATAGTCAGAATCACGTGTGTTAGGGACATTTTGTTCTTTGCTGGAGGAACTGAACGAACTCATATAATTGTTTAATAAAATATCTGTCCGTCAAAAACACCGTGCAGAAAACAATGCAAGGTGAAAACGTCGTCATACAAAACATCCTGAGAGAAAAGAAAGCAAAGAGAAAACATTGCAATTCTAAAATATCGTGGTACTAAACATTCATTGAAAATAAAGCGGTTCTAAAATTTTGCAGTTTAAAAACATCATCGTCGCAGAAATCATGGCAAAAAATAAAGCACCTGCATTGCATGACGATAGCATCACAGATATGAGCTTCCAAGCTTTAAAAATTCACATAATAAATAAGAGTCAAAAAGAACTTCCTGGAGCACTTTTCCCACAACCTGAACGACTACCTCATGTAAAGATTTTTTAACAAAATATGTACGTTTTTTCATAATTTTTGATGTGACAGAATAAAAATGTACAGGAAAAAAATGCAAAAGTCTTAAGTTTTTTGGAATAAATTATAAGTATTAAAAATGACATAATAATGTATGTTTTTTATGTATTTTTAGACACAAAAATCTTAAGTTTTTGGAATAAAATATAAGATTAAAAAATTACATAAAATGCAATAGTTCAGATAATTTTTGATACCTGGAAGTCAAATCCCAGTGAATAGCATTTTCAAAATTTATAATTAGTAAATCTTCAGTTAAACACTGTTTATAGAAATCTCACGCCAATTAACATCCATTTATTTGAACTACGATTCAGGCTTCCAGTCTAGCACTTCATTTTTGAAAAAAAGTTCAGTAGTAGAAACCTTCTTTAAATTTCTACTTTAAACTCATCGCCTATACGATATGTGTAAAAAATTATCTATCTTTGTCTACAGGTGTATTAAATTCATATTTGCTATCACCAACTACTTGAACTTCAACAATATCTAAATGGAAATTTTGAAAAAATAATGTGATTTTCATATATTCATCTACTAAAAATTTAGAATTTTTATCCAATTTGTAAATTTCAAATTACAAATTAATAAAATTAACAATACTTCATCTATTAGATTCAGTATAATAGTAGCATTTGAACACTATAATCTTCCTTATAAAGGACTAAAATCATCTGAATTGTTAATGACATCAAAAACATACTTTTCTGTTGCAGCATCTTGATCTTTTATTGGATTTCAACAATTTCTATTCTTCTTTCTTTTGCATATATAACCTCTTTAATTTGTAAATATTTATATTCTAATTTCCTTTTAAATTCTAATATACTTCCATTTATTTGAGCCCACCAGCGGCCGAGCGGTAAAGTCGCTGAACACTGGTAGTTCGGTCCGAGGATTGAATCCCGCGGACGGGCTGGCTGGATGGGCGTTTTCGTGGTTTTCCCCATGTGTAATGTATATACGAGCCAGTTTCCCTTAAAAATCCTCCACGAAGGCTTCCCTCACCCTTAGGCAGATAGCCCCTCGAGGCTTTGTCGTAATTAAATAACTTAACCTAACCATTTATTTGATTATCTTCAGAATTTTCTTTGTTAATCGCTCTACTATGCCTCTAATATAACTTGCATTTCCTTCAGTAAAATTTAACAAACTGGTATCTAATTTCTTAATTTTTTCGACTAACTCATTTTTCAATTCAAAATAATAATTCTTCTTCTTCATAAGAACCACAGCCTGTAACAGACCAAAGCTGTCTCTCCAAGTTTCCTCCACCTGAACCCATTCATCACAATAGCCTTCCATTGGTTAACTCCAATTAACCTTGAATTTTGCTCGACATCATCTATCCATCCTAGTGGGTGGTCTTCCTTTTCGTCTTACTCCCTCAATTCTCGAATATTTTATCATTTTGATTGGAAATGCATCATCATATCTAAACACATGGCCCAGCCACCTGATACAAGATGCCTTTACGATTCTCACAACATCATTTTCACCATATTTTCAATATTTTCCATATAGTTCATGATTATAGAGAATCCTCCATATGCCATTTTGTTGATAAAGATCTTTCTTATGATTTTTCTTTCAAAAGTTGAAACAGGTCTTTCTCTGCTCTGTTAAGTATCCAACATTCACTTCTGTAAATTTCAACAAGTTTTAAAGTTTTATATAAATTTAATTTACCGTAATTTCCGGAAGAAACGCCGCGGCGTTTACGTGTTTAAAACTTAAATTTTCAGCGGGTGCGGCGTTTCTACCCATGTGCGCGTTTAGGTGCACTTAAAAAAAAATATTTCCTATGATGTCATGTGCATAGTTTAAATGACCTTGTTATTGTACATAGTTTGGATGACCTTGTCATTGTGCATAGACTTGGTGCTATTCCCACAAAAGTGCAATTTTCTGTATTTGGAGAATAGTTATTCAGTTGATTCAGAAGCTCATTCCGCAAACTTTCTCCAAGGAATGGAAATGCAGCTTTGTCCAGGATATCAAGATACATCTCAACATTAATAATTTTGACTGCAAGAATTAAGAAAGCAGGCTGAACTACCAGAAACATGTTCAAACAATTTTGCGTTTTACAAACTTGACTAGCCAATTATTTAAAAGGAAGTAGTCCCTACATCTACCAAACTACAAAACTGCTTTCTGTGAACTTCATTTTGTTTACATTCTTTCCCTTGATAATAAGGACCCCTAATAAAAATAATAAGCCTTATTCACCCTAAATGAGATCTCAGAACAATAACATTCTTCCCCCTTTCAAATCAGACATTCTCATCAGTTTGAATAGTCTATCTCTTCTCTGCTATTCGATGAATCTTCCAGGACCCATCCTCTCCCCACCCCCATGCCTTTCTGCAATTGTTTTCAAAGGCGGACACGCAATTTTTTTCAAAGGCAGACCTCGCACCTGCGTTGCAACTAACTGAAATTCTGATGTATTTCCCCTTCAGCATTCAGCGCAAATTCGATTTTTCTTGCCATTCTGCCAGAATACAGATCCCATCAGTTTGGTTACAAGTACTTGTTGAATAGTTTTTCAAGTAAGAAGGGAAGAAGAAAATTTTTGAAAATGGCTCCTAAAAACAGCACAGAAGCTATACATTTCTTACCTTTAATTTATTTTTGAGTTATGGTTTCATTTCATGCATTTTTCTTAACTGGTATGTGATATATCAGGACTTATGTTGAGTTTTTGCATCTATACGGCTCCACGACAATGTCACGCGCAATTTAATCTATTGCGGCGTTTCTGTGTAATTTAAATTTTTTTCCCGCCATTTTTCTTGAGTGCGGCGTTTACGCTGATGCGGCCTTTCTTCCTGAAATTACGGTAGTTTTTACGCAAATTAGTTTGGGTTTAAGTTGTTTTTTAAGGCCACAGTAACATCTATTAGACATAAATATTCTGTAAATTTCAACAAATTTTAAAGTTTTATATAAATTTAATTTAGTTTTTACGCCGATTAGTTTGGATTTAAGTTGTTTTTTAAGGCCATAGTAACATCTATTAGACATAAATATTCTTTTATTTCAATTTTTATATCATTCAAACTTGTGCAAAATAATTAAGTTCTATATATTTTAATACAAATTCTTTATTAGCAGCACCATGATTACCTACAGGATTTAAATAATTTTTTTTTTTAATTTTGTTTTCCATATCCTAATTTCTATCATCTGTTAATTTTGGTGTTTTAAAATATGTCTTCTCAGTTTTATGAACCTATAGTTTTTCTTAACCAACATAACTGCCAAGATGAATGTCACAGAGTGACATTAAATTCGACACTTGATTATTTAGATAATTTAAGAAAATAACTCTGAAGTTCCTTCATGCAAACATGGAGGATTTGGAAATAGTAAAACAGAAGAGGAAAGCAATTAAGAGTGCATTTATGAAAACAACTAATAAGCACAAAGACCTCATGTGATCAGATTCTCCGAATTTGGATCATTTAAAAATTTGTTTAGATCAAATTTCAGAGAGAAATACTATAAAACTTTATGAAATACGAATGACTCTTTTTTGGAACTTCTACAGAAAAAAGGCTGTCCTCAAGAAGAACACGAAAGAGAATTTAATGCAGCTCAAGAATATTACAATAAATTATCTACGTTGAAAGTAAAAGCCAACAGAAAAAAGGATAAGTATTCACAGCCTTCTACTGGTGCAATGAATAGCGGTTCTTCATCAGGAATAGTTACGACCGAAAAACAGAAACTACCAGAGAACGAACTGGTGAAGTTCGATGGAGGCCCTCGAAACTGGCTGATGATCTGAAGAAGATTTAGTAAAATACATGAAGATACTCGCATTGACAAGAGAGACTTTCATTATCTACTGCAATCTACAAAACCTGAGACAGTGCCAAGAGCAATACTGGAGAGATTTCCTGCTATGGAAGAAAATTACAGTAAAGCCATGGAATATCTCAAAGAACAATTTGGAAATGTTTTAAATCAAATTTATGTTAGAGAATTATTAAAACTGGTAATCAATGACATACAAAAAACAGACTTATTCTTTATGACAAGTTGCAAACTCAACTACGTGCATTGGAATCAATTGGTTCAGCAAAAGAT